TTTTGAGAAGAGGGCTGGGTCAGTGTTGTGTCAGCCTTGTACGGGGAGGGGGGGGGGCGGAAACTTTTGTTCTGGAAAAGGACAATGTTGAGGTGTTTCCTAAAAATGCAATGATGAGATTGCTGTAATGCCCTTGGATGTGCATTCCATTCCATGACAAGATTTTCACAGCTGAAAATGCTTTGTTCCTCTTTTGCATGTAATTTATTTGCATTCTTGTGATTTATTTTGGTCTGAAGGACTGCAAATGCCTTGCATGTTCATAGATCAATCTGTGATTTGGGGCAGAGTGGAATGAAGTTTGCGAGGGCAGGGATGGGTCCTCGGACATGAGCAGGATGGCTCTGCCCCCCATCGCAATGTTAAAACTCCTTCTCTTTACAGGTCTGGCTCCCAGGCTACCATTAACATTCAGGTGATGATTTTGTCATTTCGCTTAGAGATCCTTCAGTGGAAAATACAGAAATAGTGCTAGTACTTATTTATTATGCATATGAAAAATAGAGCACAAAAAGGAATAAGGTACTCGTAGGACTCCGCTGTAGATGTGCCAGGCTAACGTTACCACTGCCTTTGCAGGAGTGCTACCACGGTGTGTTACCTATCAGCACCACGCAAACAAAACATTACCACGTGGATACAAAAGTTTGCTTAGGAAGCAGGTGAATTAACATGAGAACATCCGAATAGTCTTACAAAGTTTTATGTGCCATTAATTCTTTCTTAAAGTGTTCATGCACGTATAAAATCTGTGTGTCTGTGCCCTTGCTCCAGTCATTTTGAGCACAAACACTGCTCTTAGCAGCGGCAGTTGCATCTCATGAGGCCAGCACTGTAATTAATGAGATTTGAGGCACAAATACTGAAGCAAATTTGAGTTTCTGGTATCAGAAATGAAGATCCAGTGTTTGTTAAAAAAGGGGATGAAGGGGTGGCAGTACTTTAAAGCTTCTCAGTCCGACACTGGAAAGGAATTCACAATGTATTTTTAGAGTGTTATAAAAATCTCTTACATAATGCTGATTAATTCTTAGGTTTTAGGGAAGAGCGCTGGGCTTTGTGTGTAAGAGTGTTGACCAGCTAAGCCACTGAAAAGGGCTGGCTTGGGATGGATTTTTTTTTTTTTTTAACTTCTTGGATACAGAAAGCTGCAATTATTCAATTATTACAGGATTTTGCTTTTGTTTGGGCGTGTATGAATATTTTTCTGGAAACTGCATCTTATTCTTGGAAGTCTTTATCATTTTAAAACATATGTTATGTTATATCACCCTGTCTGAGATATAGGATAGCTACAAGCTGGGTGGGTTTTTTTTCCCCCTCTCTTACTGCAGCTAGTTACGTTACGGATTAACGTTAAGAATGTCTGCAGTGAAATATTACTCGTGTGGCTGTGTAGGACTTACTTGAACGATGCAACATATTACGGAATCATGATTTACAGTAATATATACAATTACTGTGTAGTTCTGCCCATGCTGTTGATTTTCAAAATCATCAGTTAATCTTAACTGGCAGGTGTCACACAGCTCTTAACAAAGGGCTAGTCAGGAAATTAAGTTGGTAAACGGTACTCCCTTGTTTTAATTGTAGTTATATATAGTTATGGTTGCGCAGCTGGAAAGACTTTTTGGACAAGGTATCACGGGAAAGAGACACTTTTGTTTGGTCTTTTTCAACAGATACATGACCAAGGCAGCTTTGAAGCCTTCCTGAAGAATCCTCCTTCCTTCTGTAGGATGTTTAATCTTTCTGTGGAGTTTCTGACCGTGAACCTCATTCTGCAGACTTCCATTCTTGTGCCATACAGATGCGTAAGAATTGCTCAGGTGAGTGAGATGAGCCCTAAATCGTCACTGGAGAATGAAGATGGGAGGAACGCATGGGCCACAAGGGCAAAACAAAAGCTTTTTTGGCCGTCTTTTCCAGCTGGGAGGAAAGAAAAGTAATTATAGCTCAGTGGTAGGGAGAGATGGTCCTTGTGGGTCCCTTCCAACTTGAGATATTCTATGAATTCTGTGATTGTAAGTCTCAAAGCAAGGCTTGCTAATAACGTGTTTGTCAGCCAGGTCTCCTGCAGGGAAGGGCTCTCTCCCATGACACTGTTTATGGGTGTTTCTGCAGTTCTCCTGGAAGGAGTCTCCACCACCGCAGAGAGCCAGTGCTGCTCTGCAGCGTTTGGTTTCCTGTGTTCCTTCCTGCTAAAGGACGCTTGTCCTGTGAGATGCGGAGCAGCTCACTGAAGGGAGCTGGGGACATCTTCCAGCAGAGAGCTACAGGATCAGGAGAGGCACTGCAGTACACTGAAACCAGCTGGAAGAACCTGCAATCTGCTACAGTTTCTTCTGTGACACAGTCTGTCCTTGCTTTCTCACTCTCATTCCCCTGTGAAACCTAGGTTATGGCCCTGCTTCCCTCTCGCGCTTTCTTTTTCCAGTGAGAACCACAATTTCCTCCTGTTTTTGGAGAGGAAGCAAGGATGCTTTGCAGCCTCCTGTTACACAACTTGTCCGTGAAGGGGCTAGGGAGAACCTGAATACATTCAGTTTGGTAAGAATAAAGCTTACATTAGTTTATCGCTCTCACTGACGATGAAACGGTTGCTCGCACGTGTAAGTACTCTGGCTTCCAGCTTGTGTACACGCGCAGTTCAGAGTATCGGAAATTATCTCTAAAGGGCACACAGCGACACACAGTCTGAGTCTTAGTTCATACGGTGGAAAAAAACATGTTTGTGAGTACTGGTTTCCTCCATATTAGCTCTTACAACTTCATCCTCTGCTGTCTTATGTGGTTTCAGATCTCCCTGATGCTATTTCCACTGGAGGGGCTTTCACAACATCTTGCTCGCTCTCACACTCACAGACGCTCACATGCGTGCCTTCTCTGGTGCTGGCTACGGGTGGAATTCATGTTGCCTCTCATGTAGCAGAGCTCAGATACGGTCTCCCTCTTCCCCCTTATAGAACTGGAATTGTTACTTTTTTGTCAAATTTGGTTGATGATTGGGTAATGGGTTAAAATTATGACTGACGTATACATAAACACCCACAGCATGTAGGATTGCCCTCATTTCTCTGGTTAGCATGGCTATCTGACTGAAACTATATGTTACCAGACAACCCAGTCTGCGGAAAAAAAAAAAAAATAGTACATAACCTCAGTTATTAATCATTTGAAGGATAGCTGAAAGTCACCATTGCTGGTTCAGCGATGCGTCACATCAGGAATGTGATTCTGTGTGCCGTATGTGCCAATAACCAGAAGAAAAACAGCTTGAAAACTGGGGATATAGGTCAATGTGAGGGTAAATTGGACCCCGATCCTAGACAGAGCGCCACATGGGCAGATCCGTCTTTGCATGAGGTGGGTGCAGGGATTTGTGGGTAAGGACTTCACTGCTGTGGTGCCTTAGCTGCCACTTTTAGCATTTAGTGCTATGCTAAAAAAACCCAAACAGAAATCACATTAGCAGAGTCAAAACTGTTGTTAGCAGAATCAGAGTTGCTTTTATTTTCAGGGTCACTACACTCAGCACTATGTTACAGAAAAAGGATGAACCCAATATGGAGTTGCTGATAATTCCTGAGTTGGTTTGACATATGCAGACTGCTGTCGACTTCAACAGGCTTATTTAACACATTTGTTTCTTCTGGCTTTAGGATTAGTCAACATGCGATTTTGTGAAGCTATACCAATGAGGTTGCATATTGTGGGCTGCAGGCCTGGAGTTGCAGGCTTGGGGTTGCACAGGTGTATCAGCAGAAAGACTTCGGCTTTAGCCAGCAATTAACCACAATTAGGGCAGTTAACCTCTTCAGAACTCTCAACATTTTTACATTATTTAAATTCTGTTCATAAAAAAAAAAAAAAAGACTCCCAAGCAGGCAGTAGCACTCAAAGTGAAGATCTGGGGAAATAAATGGCCGAAGCTATCATACCGTGACAGCTTTGGCAAACCTTTACACAGTTTTGTAGAGCAAACACATGTGATGTTCTCTTCTCTGGGTAGGTCTTTATGCTAGCAGTTCATACTTAACACAAAAAATGAATAAAATGGTTCTCTCTCTCCACATATTTACTGAGCACATACTGGTGAATTAAGTATCATCCCAGCAGTGTACTATGACAGCCATGCTCTGTCAACGCATTTAAACGTACAGCAGTCCTGCGGGCCTTTCCCGTCCTCTCTGATGTGCATAGCCCAGGGAAGATGGAGATCATTTCAGCCTGTATTGTGGACTTAATGTTCAAAGGAGCTAATTTCCCTGAGTCTCAAGAATCACAGAAAATAAAATAATTGTAAGGGGGCTTGCTCTTCTTTTCAACAGGTACGAAATGTGCCAGTAGACTCTGATAGCCGAGTGTTACTTCATTTGCTTTCAACCCTGACATCTGAGCTTCTTTTGCTCTTTATGAACTATTTGAGGTTTTCATGTTCAGTTAAGAGCAGATATATTGAAAACTGCTGAAGTTTCGCCCTGTTTTGGACCTGGGGCCCAGGGAGAGGGTGGTGATGATTAAAAACACTGGCACATACCAAATCAAAGTTATACCAGATCTGACTGATTGTTTAACAGTTGGCCAATAGCAGTGTTAAAAGCAAGAAGGAAAACCGCAGCGTTATTCATTAATTTGTACTCATATATGTTCTGTTGCTCTTAAACTTCCAAGAGATCACAGATTCATAAATTAACAAAACCATTACATATAATTACATATAATACACGTTACAGGAATATATAATCCACAGAACCTTCCCCAAAATCCAGCAAAATAACAAGGCAAATTGATTAAAAATGCTTGATCATGTGTGGAACGAAGGAAAAAAAGTAAGAATGTTTATTTCTCACACAAGGCTTTCAGTGAACCAAAGGTAGATCCAGAACTTACTTTGTCAATACCCTTTGGCTTTTCATGGGTAACTGGCAGGTATGAGGAACGACAGCAAATTCGGCCCCTGTTACAACTGTTGTGTTACAGTTACACCAGCGGGACCAAATTACAACCTTGTCATTCTGGGTTCTCTATAGGTAAAGAAGGGTAAAGCAGGGTCACGATGAGGTATAGGCAGTGTCACAGCACAGAGGATGCCCTAGCTTGGGAGGGAAACCGTTTGACTCTAAATGTGGTAATGGTACTGGGGGACTGTGAGGAAGATTTGTTACTTAGGTTCATCTTTGATTCAGTATTTCTTGGTTTCTCTTTCAAATAGGTAAACAGGTAAAAGGCAAGCATACTCCATAATGTTAACATGAGAATATTGTTTCAGAGATTTGTTTTGGGGTTTTGCAGCAGATGATTGTTTGGTGAGACAGAGCCTTTTATAGAAACCAGACTATTACTTGTATTCTTTGGCATTTCCATTTAGAAAAGCTACTCATGTTTACACACACAGACACACACACACACACACGATATTGTTCATATATATTGTTCATCTGGTAAGGAAGAAGTAAAAGAAATTGATACCAGCCTGCATATGTGTTCAAAAGCTTAGTGAATTCTTCAAGCTCTGGTGTGGATCACATTTCATGAAACTGCAATAAAAAAAATCCTTTTTCACCTTGTCTTTGTGTGTTCTGAGGTGGGTTTGTACGGTTTGAATTACTAGGTAATCACCAAGAAGTCTCCTTTTCATGAGCCTGCAGCTGGGAAATGGACAGTTTAATATTAATGGAAAGAACAAACTCTCCTTCTCCTTTCTCTCCCCTTTCTTCTCTGCACCTCTGCTTCATCATTTTCTTCTCTAAGGTCCCTAGCCTGAAATTGCCTTTGTGGGAGCCTGGGATGAACTAAAAAGCAAGAGCAGAGCCCGTTTTTTCAAAATCCCATTTATCGACTTGAGTGAGCGTCATATGACACTAACTTACAACTATTCAAGATCGAAAAATCCAATTCATTGATGTATCTGCAATTATTTATTCAACTCGGAAACTAGTATCAAATGAATATTCAGGCTTCCCTTATGAAATGCTTACTAAATACTCTGCCATCACCATGCCAGTATGGAAATAATCACTTCTGGCTTCTAGAAGAAGAAAACTATTAAACGTTTATTGAAAATGAATGGGCACAAACGGTTGAACTTTAGTAGAAGTAAACGGTAGCACCGTGTCTGTAATATGGTATGTGTCCACGCCTGTGCCGTCTGGACAGCATGAATGTCTTTAAAGGTGCCATTAACTTCCACCGTCTAGTGATGTATCTAGGAAGGTTTCTGGATAACACACCTTCCACCGCTGCTTGCTTCTAGGTCCGTTCTGGCTTCACTTTCAAAGAAGTTCATCAAGGAAGCAAAGTTAATTGCCAAAGTTTAGCACATGGCAATTTTTTAGATTAAAGGACACTTATTCATATTCTTTCTCATTTAAGCCAACTGCTGGAAATCCAGTGCGATGAATGAGAGAGGGCAACCCCAATGCAGGGTCTCCAGGGACTGCAAGGTCTAAGGCAAACATGAAGTTAACCCTTTTTAGGCTTTCTCCCACAAAGGAACTCTGCACGTGAAGGGATGTGAGAGCCTGTTGGGAGACTACAGAAGTCACGGGTCCGGACTGAACTGAGAGCTCCAAAAGGTTTCCCATTTCTCCAGTTTTGGATATAAATGGTACATTTGAATAAAAACCTTTGCTGATGACTTCTCTGCTGGTTTCTTGAGTTACGCTTCCTGTGTCTAAGACTGGTGGTGGAGCCGAACTGAATGAGCTCTTCTGGCCTCTTGTTTTGGCCGGTGAGAGATTTGTTTTCACGGGCAGAGTGGTTCTCACGGCTGGGGCCACTTGCTTTCTCCCCAGGTGGTCCTTCTGCCCAATGAAGGGTGGTACTGCGGGTCTGTGAGGAGAATCAAGTCCTGGCCTGAGCAGCTGGAATGGGGAAGGCTACAAAATGAAGCCCTGAACAAGGGAACAGAGATGCCTTGGGGCTGTGTTAGAAACAGTGGCTTCTCCCATCTGTTCTCTCCTCTTGAGTTCTCCACGTGCTTACTGCTGGTAGTCTAGCTGGCGCGGTAGTTTCCTAGGTTATCTGAGTAAGAAGCCTGAAATATAAGGTGAATTGTGTTATTTCCAACCCAAAACATTCTATGATTCTATCCCTGCTCACTGCAGGGGGGTTGGGCTAGATGACCTCTAAAGGTCCCTTCCAACCCAGAACATTCTATGATTCTATGATTTAAAATACCTTCCTTTTATTGTTTTTCATACCCAAGGTCAAAATTTATAGCTTCATGAAGCTTACCTGACCAGTGGTAGCCTTTTCCCCCTGGTGATTTAAAAGTGGGCTTGAGAAGCAGAGATGTTTTAATTTCTTCCTGTTTCTTTTGTTTGTTTGTTTGTTTGGGGATTTTTCATTCTCTTCTGCACTTAAAAAAAAAATATTAATCAAACCTCAAACATTCTTCCAGCAGCACGAGATATGTCTAACTAGTGCATCCAGAGGTATAGATTTTAGGAAGGAAGGAAGAGGTGCATTTTTTATATGACCATTGCTAATATACAAGAGTGCAGGGTAGGAAGGGAGCCCTTGAGGAGATCTTCCCTGGCCTGGAAGGGCATCATGTCCGATTATGGCAACTTACTTAATTCCAGGCATTGGTAAATGAACAGGGGTGTGGAAGGGCATGTATATGAAAGAGGAGGACTTTTTAATCTCACAAGCTGGCCTCAGGGGTTTTGGTTCAGAAACAGACAGGAGTTATATAGAATTCCCAGAGTACAGCTGGTGCACCCATAACTGCATTGGCTATAATAGGATTTTTTACTGTGCTAGGAATGAAATATCGGGCTCTCATTGTTATCTTTCCTTGTGCAGCTGTAAAGAATTTATTTGTGAGTTTTACAATATCCAGAGGTGGCTCCTTTGTACCCTTTTTCAATAAAGTTGAAACGCCAAAAGTTTTTTAGTTTCTTATTACTCTCTTTGCCCAGTACAAAACCCTTGTAGCAATCTTGAGACTGGCATGTCTGTCCTATCGTGAAGGTTTTCTGAAAGAGACTGTTTTAATTTCACTGCATAGCTGGTCCTTCTAATGCCATTTTTAGTTAGCCCCAATATTGAGTCTTTTCCAGCATGTTGAGTTCAACAAGCTCATGCCAGACTAGCACGACATCTATTAAGGGCTCTGAAAAGCTGGGCTATTTTATCTGTTCTTGACAAGACTCTGGGTCATACCTCAGATTTTAGACATTCTCTGTTCAGTGTATTGAAATTTCTTGTAAGCCTGAAGTGTCCCACCTTAGAATGGAAAACATGTCATACATGAATATGGGAATAAAAGTGTTTCACTGAAAAAAGGTATCTCAGTTGCCCAGAATACTAAGGAATCGGGGAGCCATTTCATTTCTACATGCCAGCTTGCTCCCTGGTCTTTCTTTTGTAAGACTACCATTCTTAAGGAGTTTGGCCCTGATTTCTCATTGCCTTAATTGGAAGCAGGAGTAGACACCTGATGTGACTTCCCAAATACTCCACTTTCCATCATCAGTCGGTGGCTGCTCATGAGAATTGTTCTGGATTTGATGCTGCTGTTCGTGCGTATTCAATCCTTTTCTAAAAAGCTGTCAGTATTAAAGCTAACTTCCATGTTAATGGAAATGACAAACTAATCCAGCAAAGAAATACACAATAATAAAGAGAGTCCATTTCAGATTATATCTCTCTTTCTCCTTGCATACTGATTCCTTAAAATCAATTTTAAGAAAGACCATTTTTTCCACTGGGACTTTTTTTTCTCTTTCACTGTCTTTTATGAGTCCCCTTTCACCTCCATAGGTGCTTTCCATGTCTAGGGAAACAATGAATTTTAAATCCAGATGCATCAGATCTGATTATGCCGTCTCCTCACCAGTGAGTTTCCCATTGAAACCAGAACAGATCATGGTGTGGGACTACATTACTGCTAAGGAGTGAGGAAATAACAAATTTCAAATTTTTGGAAGGACATGAGGGAAAATGTGAAGAAAATCTTTCTTTTAACCCCTTCCAATGAATCTACCACATCTCTCTCTCTCTCTCTCTCTCTCTCCCCAACAGCTATTACCCAGCAATCTCCTTCTCATTCAAGAAGTACTTGGACAGATGGAAGTCAAAACAGTAGGGGACTAATAAACTGTTTCAAGATTCCCAAATTAGGTCTCCTTAAAAATAAAAAATGGATTTATAAACACTAGCATCCAATCGGAGTGTTGCCACTGATTTCCATGGTTCTGGCAGTATCTGGCTCCTAACACAAATACAAATGTCGTAATTTGTTTTCCATCCCCTCTGATGTCAATGTAAACAATCTTTTGGATAGATCTGGGTATTTCTCTGCAGGAGTATGAAGCCTAACTCAAGAGTATTGTGTTAGTTTATGAGAAGCAGAAGGGGAATCTGACAAGTTTAGTGGCATTGTCCAAGCTATCTGAAACATAGAAAATATCTTACATAATGAAAAACATATTAGAGTTTAAGATATGTTACATATTAATTGTTTAAGTATACATTAGGAGCCAACTATGAAGAGGCTTGAGCTAAGAATGACCAAGCTAAAGCGAAAGGCATAGAAATAGTCAATGTTTCATACAACCCACTATCTAAATCTTCTGAAGCTATTAAAATGCTTCTTGATGATATTATCTTTTCTCTCAAGATTCACGAGAAAAGTCAATTCGTATATGATCACGTACAATACTCGAAGAGGGCAAGGTTCACTCCATTCTTTCCTATTCTTTTTAAGAACAACCTGATGCATCTTCCCTTGAATATATCTATCTATCTATCTATATATATATATATATATCTTTGCTCTTGTCTTGCAGTTGGCAAGTGAATTCAGTCAACTGCATTTCCCAAGGAAGCCTTACATTCAGACCCAAGCTAGCAAAAGCATTTGCTTACTGCTTACAAACTACTAATATCTTTTGACAGAGATCTTTAAGCCTGTTTTTTAACTCACTTACTGGAAACACTTTAGCAGGTATTTTTTCAGAATCAGTTCAGGCAAGCAGATGAACGTAAGTGGGTATCGCATATAGAAGTTGCCCGTTTTGCTTTTCCAGGTGCTGGTGTAAGAATTCAGGGGTGAGTGTGCCTCTTCACACACGATGCTCTAGCATACCACAGGTAGTGCAGTACTTGCCTGTAGGCCTGGCTCTTGATTTTGAAGTCCAGTCACTCCGTGCTCAGCTAACAGCGTTGTTTACCACTAAAGGTTCAGCAAAAACTACTGCTAAAATTGCTCAGTGGTCAGTTGTGTTTCTTGAAATTAGTTTTCAGACTGAGTAGCTGCCTGCTGTGAGGAGGTTTATGGTAGACTGTCTCTCCTGACTGCCAGAAGCTGCCTAGGACCTTTTCATGCACAAGCAACACATTCTAAAATATGCACTTGTTTAGGCACATTATTATTCTAAATGTCTTGAAGTTAGGTTCTCACTCTTTGTCACCATAGAAATGATTATACAATTACCAGTTTTTCCAAAGAAGGACTGCCTGTGTATCTGGGTACGAATACAACAGCTTTACAAGGCGTTGAAGAATTACTTGCCTGCAAATAAGAAACCATCTCTTCACTACTCAGGACCTAGCGGGAAAGGAGCATCTGCGAACCAGGCTGACCAAACACATTTTGAAAGGGGCAGGCAAGGCAGGCTGTGGGCACATCCTCTTCCATCTGCAGCTTTCCCAGATGGAGAAACTGGAGCTGTGGCACGGCACCCTGTTGCTGTTGCCCCTCCGAGCGTCATGCTTCCAGGTCTGCCAGGCAAACTGCATCAGCATGTGCTGCTTTAGCCATTTCAGTCAAAGTAAGCTATCCCCAATTACAGCACGAGCCATATAGATGCAACATCATGCGAGCGATGCTGCCATTTCAGCTGGAGCGGAGGACCTGTAGGCAGATGTTCTCACTGCCTTGCTTGTACAGTGGCATCTCAGAGCACCTTCCCAGTGCAAAAAGGGTATGCGGATCCCTCACACTTGTATGAACTTCACCCCTTTTGGCAGCTTCAGTGTTAAGTGGAGGTGCCGAGCACTTGTGCATGGTTTAACCAATATTCTAAGAAGAGGTATTTTGCACTTTAATCAACCAGGCTGTTCTTCTGTTTTTCCTTCCTTTTTATTTTTAATCACTTGATTGAACTGCATGCAGCAGGACACTGGACTCACCTTTAGGATAACTCCTATTTCACTGAAATGTGTGCAATGTATTCACTCTCTTTTAACATTTTTCAAGTTTGTTTTTGATTTCTGTCCCACTATTAAATTCCTCAGTGTTTTGTCTATAGAAATAATCTTTTATGAATCTTGGGTTCAGTGCCCAAGTTCCCTACAAGTCCTAAGAATTCCATTCTCTGAGCTGTACATGCATTAAAGACACTGAAGAGAGCCCTTTCAAATTCAAATACATAAAAGCAAATGGGAGTATAAAAACATAAAGTGCAAACACAAAAAATGCAAACACAAATGCTTTCCACAACACAGTAGAAAGCAAATGAAAGGATAAGGGTTTTGATAGGGGAAAGCAATTGTCTAGGAAAATAAAAATTACAAATCTTTAGAAAGGAAGATTTGAGGTGTGTTTTTCTGAAATGGGAAGACGAAATACTGAGCAAGGTCTCAAAATTCAGCAGATGCTGTGCTAATTTAAGAGTCTTAAATAGC